ACGTGTTCGCAAAGTCTTTATAAATAGCGCGACCCGCCGCCGCCCCGCTCAGCCAGAGCGCACAGACCAAATAGACACGCGGGCGACAATTCTGCGGGTCGATGACCCCACGACATACCGAATTGGCGCACAACCCCAGAATATCGGCTTGAGAGCGATCGGCGAGTTTTAACTATGCGTGTAAGCGCAAGAGATTTCACTCCAGTCGGTCAGTTGAGCGCATCCTCACTGCTCGCACTCTCGCAAATGAAGTGACCAACCAGAACCCCCGAGAGGCCAGGCTCCCAGGAATTCCCTCCAGAGCTCAAGCTAAGCTCGCTCTCTCACTGTACGCCACCTGATCTCTCGACTCTCGAAGTCACGGCTCGCCAGTGGTCCAAAACGATAGACTTCCGCCCTCGACGACCTTGATGCACGTTCAAAATCGCGCGCCAAGTCGACTGACCAATGGTGGCGCTGGGGAATGTAAATAAACAGGTCGTGTGTCGTCTGCAACTTGCCTCCACCCTCCATTGCAAATTCCGAGGATTCTTCGTTTCTGCAGAGACTGGTACCAAAAAGTTGCCTCTCATCTAGAAGAGCTCACAACGTGACTGTCTTGAATCTCCCGAGGTTGTTTTCAACTTGTTCAAAAGCGCGATAAATGGGTCTAGAAGGTCCCCGACGGCGCTGGGTCGGCGCGAAAACTGACAACGCTGCTACTTCGAAGCGACCAATCGCGTGACGGTACGCGGCTGCGCATGCGCGGCGCCGCTCAAAACAACAAAGGGGGAAGGTGGGGGATATAACCTCAGTTGCTAACCAGCCGTCAAAGCGAACAGCTGTGCAAGTCAATAGCAGACACCGACCACACCAGTTCAGCAGTCACCTTTGTCTGTGATCCGCCCTACCGAGTTTCTCTTTGAACGAGTGCGAAGAGCAAAGCAGCCACCATGTCCGAGGCTCACTTCGACGAGTATGAGCACTACAACTTCGACCAGGACAAGCACATGAACTCCGGGCATTCTGGAAAGGGGCGAACCAAGAAGGAGGCAAGTGAGCACACCAACCACTTTGACCCGAGTGGACACTCCCGCAAGATCGTCACCAAGCTGCAGAACACCGAGACGAACACGAAGCAGGCCAACGCCAGCGC